CATTAAACATTTTTTCTTTTAAATAAACAAAATGACCCACAAGGACCCACAAATGACCAACATGAATAGAATTTGAAAATGTCAAGACCCAGTTACTCACTCGTGCCAGACTGGTTCCAGATGGAACTTTATAAGGGACGTATTTCCTGTAGATGTGCCCAACTCTAGAACATGGAACGTCAAACATGCCACCTCCACACATCCAAACCTGAGAAGGAGGAAAAAGAAGTTGAAAACAAATGAGTGAGTGTTAGGAGAGGAGATGGGATAAAAAGGTGGAAATGGTTATTCAAAATAGTAGGATGATTGAACTTCCTACATCATTCTGTACTGATTTCTTTTTAGGAATGCCTAGGAGCTAAAATAATTTTTCCAACTATTTAAGTTGGTCTAATAAAAGATATCAGATTCACCCAAAGAACCTTGTCTGCCTAGGAGTGGAAGATAAGTAGAGTTTCATTCTACAGAAAGAGTTGATATTATAAATTACCAAATGATATATAACTAATTACTCCATCTAGTATCACTGCTTTCCACAATATAAGTAAGATGTCTTATCTAAGAATTTTATTTTTCAAATTTACATATTTGAAAAATTTCAATGGTGGTTTCATATGGGACATATTAAAAAACTGGTCACTAAATGGGCAATTAAATATGCAGACAGGTAATAATTTACAGGTTAAACTGAGACTTTTAAAGAAATCTGGCCTATGACCTACACCAGCAAGTCCCCAAAAGTGTCAGACAAGACAACAAATAGGGATATTTACATTATTTTAAAACTTGTCACATACCAAAGTGGTTTCCAATTCACTTACAGAACAAGTTCTGGCACTACCAAATCTACATCCCAGGGTACTCAAGGAGCTGGCTAGGATCATAGCTCAGCCCCTGGCATGGATCTTCAAGAACTCCTGGTGCTCTGGTGAAGTGCCCGAAGATTGGAGGAAGGCCAATGTCTTGCCTATCTTCAAGAAAGGGAGGAAAGTGGATCCGGCAACCTACAGATCATCAGCCTGACCTCTATCCCAGGGAAGGTCTTAGAAAAGATTATCAAAGAGGCCATTCTTAACTGACTGACTGATAGCAACATCCTGATGGATAGCCAACATGGGTTTGTTGCAGGTAGGTCTTGCTTGACCAATCTTATTTCCTTTTATGACCAGGTGACCTATCACCTGGACAAAGGAGAGGAGATGGATGTCATATATCCTGACTTTGAAAAAGCCTTGGATCTGGTATCCCATGATCACCTCTTGGCAAAACTGGCCAACTGTGGCCTCGGGTCCACCACAATCCGCTGCCTGGGGAATTGGCTCTGTGGTCAGACCCAGAGGGTGGTAGTTGACAGAAGTCAATCATCATGGTGCCCTGTGAACAGTGGGGTCCCTCAAGGCTCTGTCCTTGGGCGTATATTGTTCAACATCTTCATTAATGATGTGGACATTGGAGTCAGAATTGGACTGGCCAAGTTTGCCGATGATACCAATCTTTGGGTAAAGCATCCACACCTGAGGACAGGAGGGCGATCCAGGCTGACCTTGACAGGCTCAGGAAATGGGTGGACAAGAACCTGATGGTGGTTAACATAAAAAAATGCAAAGTTCTCCACCTTGGGAGGAAAAACCTGCAGCATCCTTATAGGCTTGGCAGTGCTACGCTGGCTAGCACTATGGATGAAAGGGACTTGGGGGTCATGATTGACCACAAGATGAACATGAGCCTTCAATGTGATGCTGCAGCTAGTAAAGCGAGCAAAATGCTGGCTTGCATCCATAGATGCTTCTCAAGCAAATCCCAGGACGTCATTCTCCCATTGTATTCAGCTTTGGTGAGGCTGCAGCTGGATTACTGCATCCAGTTTTGGGCTCCACAATTCAAAAAGGATGTGGAGAAGCATGAGAGAGTCCAGAAGAGAGCCACGCACATGATCAGAGGTCAGGAAAACAGACCTTATGATGACAGACTGAGAACTATGGGACTCCTTAGCCTGGTAAAGCGCAGGCTCAGGGACGATCTGATGGCTACCTATAAGTTTGTAAAGGGTGTCCACCAGGATCTGGGGGAATGTTTGTTCACCAGAGTGCCCCAAGGGACGACAAGGTCTAACAGTTATAAATTCCTGCAAGATCATTTCAGTCTGGACATAAGGAAGAATTCCTTTACTGTCCGAGCCCCCAAGGTCTGGAATAGGCTGCCATCGGAGGTGGTTCAAGCACCTAATTTGAATGCCTTCAAGAGAAAATTGGATGTTTATCTTGCTGGGATCCTATGACCCCGGCTGACTTCCTGCCTCTTGGGCAGGGGGCTGGACTTGATGACCTTCTGAGGTCCCTTCCAGCCCTAATGTCTATGAAATATCTATGAAATGTATTTTTTAACCTTGGGTAAGTGAATCAGCTCCTTAATTCTGCAAATTGCCATATGAGCAGAACTCCTGTTATTCTAAGCAAGAAGCACCTGCAATTTCAGCTGTTACTCTCCAAACTGTATACTCAACAACACCAAACTATATCCAAGTGGAGAAATGAAGAGAGAGAGAGAAACTTAGCAAGAAAAGGGAGCTTAGTAGAGATTCTTTGCTATTCATTTCAGTTTACTTCTGTGCACTAGGCATGGTTTCTATTAAAATATAGCTGTGGCAAAACATTAAATTTTCTGGAAAAGTATTGGAATAGGAATACTGTACATTTTACAGGGCTCCTCATCGCTTAAAAGCAACCTCACAGCATTGCAGTCTGTCAGGAAAAAAACAGCTAGGAAAGAACATCAGGAGAAGCTTGCAGGGAGTTAAACTGGTCATTAAAACTTTGAAACCCTATTCATCCAAAGCACTATGACTACATCTTCCCTGTGTTCCTGACAGGTCCTGGGATGGATGTCATGAGCAGGACCTGCCTACACATGTACCAAACCCAGAAGCAGCTCTGGGTGGGTGCAGACAGAAGTGCAGCTTCCCACTGTAACTGAGAACACTTTGCAGGAAGTGTTATGAGTTACAATGATCCCCTGGAATAAACAGAAGTTCACTGCTGGTTCCAGGAGGAGGAGTATCTAGATGCTGGCTGGGAACCCACAGCCAATTTCCCCCAGCAACAGCCCCTCCTCTTTCCCAGTCTGTCCCAGTTTTTAAAATGGGAGGGGAGAAAGGGAGCAGAGGGAGCTTATTTTGGGGGTTCCTCAGTTAGCATTGGAGGGTGGGGTCGGTGAATTATAATGAGGGCTCCAATACACCCACCCCACCCTCCAGTGGGGGCTGAAAAGACCCCAGACTGAATTATCTCCCCTCCCTTTTCCACCTCCCATTCTGAAAACAGCTCAAGGCTGGGAGTCAGCACAGACAGAAGTTACAGAAGATGTTCTGTTTTGAAACGTCTTCACCTGACTCTTCATGTAATGGGGGTTCAGATTTTCAGCTGATCGGCCATTTTTAAAGTGGTCTACAGCTGTGCACTTGTGTTTGGTCAGGGCTATAGACCACTTTCTGTGGCCAGCTCAGGTGAAAATTGTCACTTTTGTCTGTACCCAGTGGCTGCTCTCAAGCACACTGGTCTTGATAGCAGCTGTTGGGGGCATTCCCCACAACAGCTGCTATCAAGATCAGTGTGCTTGAGAGCAGCCACTGGGTTCAGATAAAAGTTTCTGGGTTTGGCACCTGTGACCAGGAATAGGTAGGCAGGTTGTGCTTGGGAGCATCCCTCCCATGAGATGTAGTGTAGATATCCCACAAGACACAACAAAAAACTGCAGGAAGCAAGTACTCAATAGACTATCTTGTGGGACTACTCTGGGGACAATAAAAGACAGACTGAGGAAGAATGAAGAAAGAGAGAGATTATGCATAGTATCAGGGTAAAAATTAAATAGTGGATCAACTTTTTGAATCTGTGATAGATATTTGTCACACACATTACAGTGTTCAATTATATGGAAAGGGTCCAATTCTATACGTACTGGGCAAAGAATGAGCTTATGATGTAGGGTAATACATTGACAACAGGGAATTTTCCACTGATTTCAGTGGAGCCAGGAGTTCACCCCTGGCTCACATTGAGAACATAGATGTATGGACAACCAATCAGTAATGATAGGAATACACAATACACACCATCAGAGATGTTCTGGTCAAGGCACCCATTGTCAGATCCATTAGCTACTCTGTAAATTCATCCCAGGAAACAGAAGAAGTTTAAATAAAGCTGTCCCAGGCAGCCTTACAGTACATCTGACACTGCATGCAGAAATGCAAGCAAGACCATAAAAATACTTCAAAGTGGGTAAGTCATATATAATTAATTTAGGCAGAGTAACAAGATGAAGAGAGAACTTACCAATAAGGTGTGCTGCTTGCTAGAGCATCATAGCAACAACACTACCATAGCTTTACCATCACGTACCACAGAATCTTAAGTTAGTACTAGAGCTGGGTGAAATTTATGGTGAATCATTCATTTGCTGCAAAATGCAGTTTCAGAGTAGCTGTAGCTATTCCTGAATTCTAGTTAAATTTGATAAACAGTTTGGCAGGGGGTTTTTTTTCTTTGCAATGCAGAATCTAAATGGCTTGATTTTTCAGGACAGATTTACAAGAAAACTTGGGTGCCATTCACAAGTAGAGGAGAAAAAAAGAACAGGGTTGTGGTAGGATCATTCTTCTGTTCCCAGGAGGTATGGCACTCCCTTGGGATGTGAGTTTTGCAAAGTAATAAAGAAGTTTGGGTTCATCTTAAACACAGGGTCATCCTCCTCCCCCAAGTTTTTGAGCACCAAACTGAAAAAACAGTCATTGGCACAGCTCCAGTCAGAACAGTGACAGGAGAAGGAAAAATCCATGGATAGATAGTATACATAGATGTGTAGAGGAAGATTCATGGTGATTATGGTGGTTAGAGTGAACTCTTAAGTAGGAAATATACAGTCTGTACAGTTGGACATGGTTGTTCCTATATGTTGTTCATGGGCTCTGTCTTCTTTACCAAGAAGGTATCTGATAAATCTGAAGCCTCACCTACTGAAAAACAAGAAAAAAGAAAAAACCCAACCCCTTATTAGAGTGCTAGTGAAAGAGAGGTGGCATTCCTTCCCTTTGTTCTCACTTTACATCTTGGAGCATCCTGGCTACTCTATTGAGGAGGCTTCTCCAATGCCTGTTGCTAAAGTTGAATTATCTCTTATTCTATATTTTCCTAAGATTTCTGGCTACCA